CATTTTTACTCCCGACTGCTGCCAATCGCAGGTTTGTTTTCGATAAAGCTTACTTTCCGAGATATTTTACAGTTTCAAGTTAAAAAACTCACCCTATATATAGTATATATATTTATATTTTATCAAAATTTTTATGCTATGGGCCGTGTTATACCTCAATAAATGAGTTTAATTAAGACGAGAAGAAACAATTTTTTTGTGTAAAACAATTTTATTTTTGGTGTCTAAAAACTTTTCAGAAATGATACGTATACCTGGTACTTTGGCTTCCTTCATTGTATATTGTTAATATTTTAAAGCCGGATGAATAGCCAACATCGATGGTACCAAAATCTATCGATTTTGGCTCGATACTAATGGATCCGGTGGCAAGTGTACTTATCACGCGATAATCAAAAACCTTTCCGTTGATCTCGATTGGAATTATTGCATGCAGTACAGATGATCTTTTGAAGATGTAAGTAACGTATGTTGTTATGCTTAATCCAGGGCTCACCCGCATACCGCTAGTCAAAGTTTTCACTTGAAAAGCCTGTTAAAAAGTACAATAAAGATTTACTTTAATAATAGATCCTTATCTTAAAAATAATAAATCATATAATTTATTTTTAGATTAGTAATTTATTTATTTAAATTAGAAGATGTTTACTAAAGAATTTGATTGACGAATTCTAATAAGCGCAGGTCTATTTCCAATGTTTTTGATAGTAATACGTTGCCGATATGTAACTCCTTCAAAGGCTTCATCAAATTTTATATAACTTGGTGTGATGTACACGTCATCGTATTTTGTACCGGTTAGTAATTCATCCATATCAAGTGTTGACTGTATTTCTTCTCTTTCTTCCATCAAGATTGATTTTGTATTCTAAGCGTAAAACATTAAAATGTATTATATTATTTAATATATATATATATATATATATATATAAAATATTTTTGCATGCATTTCTTATTGCGACTAGATATTTATAAGGAACTAATTTTGTACCCAGATAAATGATATATCATATCGTAGTAACAAGGCAAAAAACTCCCTTATATGAAGTTCATGCAACTTTTGTCTGAAACATTTTTTGATATCTCACTTCGTTTCCGAAAAATATGCCCGCGTCACTATAAATGCCGCACCCTGTATATATATATAGTAATTTAGATTTTTAAAATGTAAATTTTCTGTAAATTTTTTTTTGTAAAGTTAGTTTAAAAATATTCACAAAATATAATATTACATTTGCATTTTTTTTTATAAATCCGAATTTTTTAATTATATTTTCTTTATGATATTTAGCTTGTATCTAGCATGTCAAAATATATTGTTTTATTATTTTTATATTATACTTACAGCTATTGAAAGATTTTTCATGTTAGGTCTACATGCATGAAATTACAATATCTGTATATTCACAGTCAGATAAATTATGTTGACACTGATGTTTGTAATTGATATTTTTAACTGTAAAATTCTTTTTTCTATTTCTATTTTGACATATCGATATTTATACTATTCATAGCCGATTTCTAGGGAAATATTTTTTGTTTTCTAGGAAAAAAATTGAAAAAGAGATTAATAGAAACGACATTTAATTGGTCGATATGCTTGTGTCGATATATAATGTATGTTTAGGGCCCGAGCACAGACTTTTGCATAAGCGCATAACCATAAGTATAAGGAAATTGATTGGTCCATAAGCATATGTATAAGGAAATGCACCAATCAATTTCCTTATGCTTATGGTTATGCGCTTATGCAAAAGTTTGTGCTCGGGCCCTTAGAAATCTATGGTTTGTATAAATCATAGACATAGAAATATATCTATCTATGTCTATGGCATAATAATTTAATAGTTTAATTTATAAATATATTTTATTTATTATGATACATGGTAATGAATTAATCGATATAAAACATATGGAACGCATTTAAAGAGATATTGCGCAAACTCATGGCTTATGAAAAGAAAATTATCGTATTGATTTCTTGATCGAAAATCTCTTACAAATTTATACAATAAAAGAACGCGCGTGCTCGCGCAATGTTAACTTATCACTATTTTTAAACAATAATATCGTCTTTGTTTGGTTGTCGATCTCGGTCAGGTGGGCCACTTATTGGTATACTTTCGATGATTTTGTTGATCCAATTGATATATATCGAAACCTATAAATGCAACAAATAAAAGAAAAAGAATAAATAAAAAATAATAATTTAATATATTAATATTATATGAGCAGTAATTATTGTTCACACAATAAATATTGTTTAGACAATATAATAATGAGCACTTATCTTGCAGCTATGTTTAATTCTTTTTATCTTCCAGTAATCATGCACAAATAACAATATCTGAATGATCATATTAATGATAGTGATATGTAATACTGAGCTATAAAAGCCATCAACAAATATTATTAAAAAATAGTTTGCGGATAATTAAAATATGTATGCCCCCGATATAATTTCATATACATATATATTTGCTAATGATGTTTGCAACTTTATATTTTTAGCATACCTTTGTGAAAACAGTATAGAAGTTGGGATTGCATATGCTAGTGCCCAATCTTCGTGGGCTCACAGAGACAACTCCGTGAACTTCCCAGATGCTAGAATTTAATGTCTGAAGAAGTACCAATCCTCCGCCGCTATCTCCATTGCATACCCCAGTGCCATTCGTCCATCCGGCGCAAAAGGATGTGTAAGTTAAATATTTCCAAAAATCCCTATTCTGATTTTGACGACACTCATCATCGGAAATAATTTTCATCGTAGTTACTCTCAAAACTGGACTAAATGTATCATTCTCCGTCAATCCCATTCCTAGAAAACTTTTAAGATTCTAAAAATTGTTGGGCAAAAACTATACATGTAAATAATCGATGAAAAATGTTATAAGAATTAATTTTATAATACAAATAAATAATTAAAAA